CTCAGTAGCAATGCTGATGACACAACCATTTACTCGTGTCTTAATAGTAAGTCTGAGCAGTTCGACAAGGTCAAATTGGCAGCTGATATAAAAAAAATGACCTACAATCTGTTGTTAACTGGGGCAATGAATGGCTTGTTAATTTTAACGCCTCCAAAACAAAACTGCTCTCTATTAATTCTCTGAGAGAACCCTTTCTGCCTTCCATCAGCATGGCTGATGCTAGCCACAAAGAGAGTGACTTGTTGCACCTTCTCAGGCTAACATTTTCCACTGACATGAAAGATTATATCGAATTGATTGCTAGGAAGGTTGGTTCAATGTTGTGCGAGACAATTTTTCTTGCGAATTACATATTTACAAGTCTATCATTTGTCCATGCTTTAAATATTGCTACCATATATGGTCTGGTGTTCCTACTATATATTCCAAGATCATTGATAAAATCTAAAAAAGAATCTGCAATGTTATTTTGTCCTGACTGGCATCTCGGCTTCAGTCACTTTCCCTCTGCCATAATGTGGCTTCTCTGTGACTTTTCCAAAAATACTTACATGGTAAATGTTCTACTGAAGTCTCCTCTATGGTACCTACACTTGATAAATTTAAGTTCATTACTGGATTGGTAGCAAAATCTCATCATTTTACAGTCAAAATGGCTAGATGTGACCAAGAAGTTCTATGTTAACACTTTCTTTTTTTTGCACATTTCGCGTGTGAAACTTTTCCGGTTTCTTGTTTCACAGTCAACTCTTTATCTTCCATCCACTTAAATTCTGTTCTTTTATTATTCTCACTCTTTAATGTTTTTCATATATTCCTTCACACTCAACAATCCCTTACATCTTAGTGGCTTTGTTGCCTATCTTGGGGTGAAATGATTTAAAAAAAAAATGTTTCTGATTTTATGAACTAGCTTTAAAAATTTAAAAAAATATAAACCAAGGATTTTTTATGGCTTATCAACATTTTGCAGGTTATTTAAAGCCAGAAAATATTTCTAGATTGTAAGAATTTATTTTAGATTATAATTATTTACTGATACAGGTCCTACTAATTAACCCATAGCTGGGGAGAGAAGAGGGGGATTCATACCTTTCCCAAGGGTATTTGTGCGTAAGTGAATAAAATGAACCCAACTGGATTTGGAACTTGGCTCTCTGATTTCCAAATTCAAGCCATTATCCATTACACCACCTGCAGATGCAAGCTTAGAGCACCTGGTATTCCAATGCGGTCACTCATCTAAGTATTGACCAGGTTCAACATTGCTTAAGTTCAGTGATCATACAAGAACTGGTATTTCAACGTAATATCAGAGTAAGCATCCAGTAAAGTTGAAATAATTTAAAATTTCTTAAATAAAAAAAAGTTTTAAGTAAATGTTCTTTTGAAATGTTTAAATAAATGGTCTGTATATACGTAGATAAGAGAGTGGATTTACATAAAGTGAGAGAGAGAGTGGGTGAAGTCTGTTAAACATTCAGCTATGTCCTTGGCATGTCGGTAAAAGTGAAGTGAGTGAGTCTACTGAATTTTGGATTGCCAACTTTGCTTAGATTTCTTTCTAGAGCCACTGAGCTTAGGATTTTCAAACAATAAAATAAAATCTTCTCATGGGTCTGTTATGTTCTTCTTTCACACGTAGTATAATTCTAACGTATTCATAAACTACATCCAAGTCCAGGGTAAGACGTCCAACAGCAAGGCCTCTGATCAGGAGGTTTTGAGGAGCATGGAACCACCTCTTAATTTCTGGTATCCCCAGGTCCACCCTGACCTGTAGTGGTAGCTCCTGTTAGGGTTCCAACTATGGGCAAATAGTTAACGCCCAAACTGGGGTCAAAACAGGATGAAAATGTAAAAATAGGTTTTAGTACGAGCAATAAATCTTTTGAGGAAATATTATTACCAGTAATACATTTTTAAAGAAAACAAATATTACCAGCAATACATTTTTGTAAATAATTATCACCAGCAATACATTTCTGAAGAAAAATTATTACCAGCAATAAAAATCTTGTTGGTACTAAATAAACCATTGAGGTTGATATGCCGTAAAAGAAACCAAACCAATCTAATGGATTTAGTAAAACTGATTTTGAAATTCACAAAATCAGAGATGCAAGTGTTGTGTGTGTGTGTGTGTGTGTGTGTATCCCACAATGTCGTAAAATGTAAAAAAAAAAAAAAGTGTTGTAATAAAAGAAAAAATAAATGAGAAAAAGATGGTTTCTCTCAGAAATTCAGATAACTTAGCCCAGCTATACATCATTCTAGAAACAATTTTATTTGTTTATTATTATTCTATCGCAAAACCAGTGGTGAAGAGTGACTTTGAAACCGGGCCATGCAGTCCAGGATGACTATTAATGGTTATGAAAGAAGACGGTGGTTTTTTGTGATCAAGAGGTCAAAGTGTGTCAGATCTAATGACAGTTTTTCCTTGGGGACACAGGTTCAAGTCCTGCTTGATGGTGCACATTTTTCTAACACATTTTCTTGAATATTCAGGCCTGAAGATGGAAATAAATAAAACAGAGCATCTACTCAAATATGGGTAACCATTAAAAATAACATTTAGCAATAAATTAAAATAATGATATATTTAAAACTAATTCATTTGTAAATTAAATTCTTTGTTTATTTTTAGCAAATTCATTGATCACTTTATAAAAGAACAGTGTTACCCGGATATAAGAGAAACCCGGATATAAGAGAGATTTTCTCTGGTCCCAAATTAGAGCCTGTGTTAATGTATATAAAATAGACCAAACCCGGATATAAGAGAGATTTTCTCTGGTCCCAAATTAGAGCCATACTTACCTAAACAAAATAGACCAAACCCGGATATAAGAGAAACCCGGATATAAGAGACTTCTTCTTTTTCCCGACAACTCTCTTATATCCGGGTTTGGTCTGTATCAGCAAGACAATCTACCTTCAGCTTTTTTTTGTTATTTTTAAGAAAATTTTGGTAAAAATAAATTTTTTTTTTACATATGTTACCCCCTCACTTACTTAATTTCATGAAATTTTAAGAAATTAAATTTTATTTGCAAAACTTATTTTATTAGTTAAAAGCAGGGATCCTTGGAGAATGTAAATCATAATTTTTTAAACTGCTATTTATTTCCTGAAAAATCTGCTCTGAATCATAAAATAAAAATGCAATAAACAATGACATTATTTAATTAGAAAAGCTTTTACTTGCTTTTATAAATAAGATTTATTAAGGACACTATTGCCTTAAGAAATTTTCTTTTCGATAAATAATGAATTTTTATAATTGTTTTCATTTTAATAATTTACTATAATTTAAAATGTTCTTTTTAAATTCTGCATTAGTTTAATTGCATTAATTTATATTGTTATTAAATGAAAACTATATTTACTAATAAAATTCATCATGCACCAAAATTTTTAAAATAATTTTTAATTTTTTTTATGCATATAAAATATTATGCAACGTGCCCATTTTTGAAAGTATGGTCAACCATATGCGACATTATCAGAAAATAAGTGATGGCTGTAGTAAATTTAAAGTCAATATTCCTAAAATTAGATTACAGAGAATATTTTCCAACATTTTTAAGATTACTGAGTACTTAAAAATTATATAAAAAAAAAAAAAGGTGCTTATGTCATTTTCTTAAATTATGTTTTGCAAATAAAGTCTCCATAGAATAATATTAGTTTTATTGTTGTTCTATGGAGACTTTACATGTAAAACATAATTTAAGTAAATGACATGAGCGCCTTTTTTTTTATGTAATTCATTTCCTTGTCTATCAGGTAAACATGGCTACTGTCGGTTAACAAAAAAAAAAAAAAAAAAAAAAAAAGAAAACAACAACAAAAAAAAAACAAACAACACATTTTTTTCTTATGGTAATTTACCCACGCACGCACAGACTCTCCTGTCTATAAACAGGAGCAGGTACTGCCTTTTGGAGAGAGAAGTTTCCAGCGGTCAGCTCTGATAGTTGGACAGAACATTCTTGCTGTAACACTCTCGTTTGTATTAGTTTTCTGTTAATATATTTGTTTAACTCGATTCCTGTCTCGTGTCTTTATTTCTGGCCCTAACAAGGCCACAACAGTTTGTTTTAAAATGCATTTCTGTGTTATTTTAAAGCTAAATAAAATTTGTTTCAAGTCAGATTAATTATACTTTAAATCAGCTAATATTCCTCAAATAATGTTTCTGCAAAGTAGATTTTATTTTTGGCAGATGTTTTTAATACAGAGAATGAGCTTGCAATGAAAGACAACTAAAAAATGGGCACTAATCAGCTATTTTAGTAAAAAAAAAAAAATTGATTCCAATCAATTTCTAGTTGAAATACAACATAGTATTTTGCTGATTGAAAATAGTAAATTCAATCATTTAGCTTTCTGTTGTAGAGCGGTTTCACAGTGGAGGCTTGTATTTCTACTAAGTCGGTCCTAAAATAGGTTGACATACAAAACGTTAGGAACTTGATATAATAGGTAATGATGCAGAGAAATCTAGTTGGGGTCGCTGATACTTTAGTATCTGACTAACGGTCGTCCAACATCGACTGACTGACCAACTCCTGAGCAACTTCTACTACTTATTATAGGTGGGAGAGTCTATTAACTATAGAATAGGTGTGTTCCCCTATAACACTTTCAATTAAAGCTAAAATGAAAGGTTCATAAAAGCTGTGTTTCATTTTTAAAAATTCATTTTAAACTTTGTGTATTGCGAATTAGTGTCGGTCCCTATAGAAATCATTTATCCTACTTTTCAGGATTTCTTTATAGAAATTATTTTACTGGCAAGAAATTAATCAATCCTGAAAGAGAAGAAAACAAAAAAAAAAAAAAAGCAAGTCATTTTTATAAATACAAAAAGTATTTTATACAGAAAATCAGTCACATTTACATAAGTAAATATTCAGCATGAAATAATTCCCCAGTTTTTAATATCACAAATAAATACATTCCCCTGAGTGTGATGATGGGGGGATTACTTGGTATCATTTGCTGGCGTTTGGGGAAGATTGAAGCCAACCATTTTGGCAGTTTCTTCAATTCCTTTTTCACCAGAACCTTTGTATTGGGCAGAAATCTCCTGCAAAAAGAAAAGAAAATAAGTGGTCAGTTTTAAAAAAATAAAATAAATAAAGCTAGTTAAAGTTTTACAGAGTAAGTCAACAACCAGAAACCCTGGTATCAACAAAGAAGTCAGATTTGCATTAAGTTTTATTGACCCGTTTATATTAAGTCCTAACAACCATCTCTCTGTAAGTAGAATGTGTGGTTGTTTCCTTCCTTGGATAGACAAGCTATTTCTTCTTCATGTTTCTTATGCGTTGCAGAGTAAAATGTGATACCAAAATTACCAGATGTGAAATCAGAAGCAAAAATACTAATTCTGACTTAGCTACCAATTAAAGACCAAGGAACAGATCTTGTCTGTAAACTGGAGACTATCTTTTTTGGAAAAAAAACAAAAAACAAAAAAAAACTACAATTGTATAAATCATAGTTAATCATTTTTGAAGAAATTATCTTTGTTTGGGTTAGTTTGTAGAATTTCAAGATGAAATCAATAAGTTTCCAAAATTTTTTTGTTTTTAATTTTTAAAGCTAGTTAATAAATCACCAGCAACATTTTTTGTAATCATTTCACCCCAAGCAAGGCAATAAAGCCATTAACATGCAGGGGGTTACTGAGTGTAGAAGAATATAAGAAAAATATTAAAGAGTGAGAAAAATAAGAGGACAGAAGATAACAATTGAAACAGCATTTAAATTTTTGAAGATTAAACGTGACTGGAAAGCAAGAAGTCAGAAGAGAGTCCCACAAGCGAGAAGTGCAAGAAAAGAAAGAGTCAGCATAGAATGTACAGTTACATCTAGTCATTTTGAGTGTAAAATGATGAGATCTTGCTGCCAATCAAATACTGCACTTAAATTCATAGAGTTTATCAGAACAATTACCATGAAAGTATTTACAGAAAAGGAACAGAAGAGATACATTATGGCAGTGGAGAAGTGACTGAAGTCAAGGTGCCAGGTAAGGATCAGTAACATTGCAGATTCTTTATATTTTTATCAAGAATCTCTAAATATATAGCAGGAGCAGCAGACTATTTGGCAAATTTACCCCAAGGAGAAAGTCTACTGCCCAATATTTTAAATTCCTTTCTAATCTTATAAACATCAGAAAAAAAATCTGATTTAACTAATAACAATTTCTGTCTAAATTTCTGGAATTAAAAGTTTGCATTATTATAGATTAGTCAGACTAATGTCCTTATCTTTGTTGTTACTATCACATTTTGGCCATTATGCTCTCTGCCTTTCTTCAGGTGTCTCTCTATCTGGGTAACCCTTAGTGAAATTTGAACTGAACCCTTTATTTAATCTACATAAGTAAACTGTGTCTAGAGATTATATGCAAGTTATGAATTAGTATAAGGAGTTGTGTCTTTAATGTTAAAAGTCCTGTTATGATGTTGTTTAGATTCTGCTCAATATTATTAACTTAGATATATAGTGATAGAGAAAACTATTGTTTTTGGTTAGAAAAATTTTACTAAGTTAACAAAACAGACTAATTTGACTGTCAGTAGTTTATTTGCAACTATTTATTTTGATACTTTTACATAATTATATCTTGTAAAACTTATGTAAAAAAATAATATGAAAAGATTTTAGAACAAATTCGTCAATAAAAAAAAAATTTATTTTAAAAATAAAAGATATATTAACAAAAAAATAATAAGAACCTCCTAAAATTTATTGCACAAATGCGCCTTTCTTTTCAATAACTCTTAGCAGCCTATTGTCAACATCTGATGTTAGATTTGCAATTTTAGCGGCTGGTAAGTTATTTGCAGCAACTTTAACTGCCTCCCAGAGGTCACACTTGCTATTGAATTGCCTTCCATTAGAATAAATATCTCTCTTGAGGATGCCCCATAATGTTCTCAATGGGATTCAAGTCACAGCTATTTGAAGGACAGTCCATAAGAGAATCTTCAACAAATCCCTTTTCTTTTAACCAGGATTTAGTAAACTTTGATGCATGACTTGGTGTGTTGTCTTGCATAAAGATCATAGATCTACGCTTGGCTAAAGACTGGTTATCAAGCCATTCAAAGAAATATTGCTCTAAAAAATCACAGTAACTTTTGGAATTCATTTTAACCCCGACTTTCAGTTTAAATGGACCCACGAGTAAATTACCAATAATCCCAGCACATATCATGATCCCACCGCCGCCTTGTTGGCGTTTAAAAAATTTTCTTGAGTCATGTTGCTTGCAAACTCATCCTCGAGCCCATCCATTGGGCCCATCGAGGGTGATCCTTGATTCGTCTTCTTTACTGAAATCAGTTTTCATGTATTTTTTTGCCCACTGCAATATTCTTTCCTTATGTTTTTTTGTTAAAATGTTTTTCTTTATTTGATTTTTTACATCAGCAAACTTTCTTAATGCTTTAGACCTTGTTTCCCCTGACACCATAGGAGCTCCAGCGACCTCAAATATGAACGCACTTGACGCATTTGGGTTTTTCTTATTAATTCTCTTCAGATATGTGATAGATCTCGCTTTATTAAATTCCTGAATTCAGCCTGAGACTTTTTTTTTCCTTGGTTGAATTCCCATTTGACATATTTTCTTGATTGGTCGATGATCTCTTTTCAAATCCTTAGACATTTGAAGCGAAGACTTTCCTTTGCTAATTTCTTTGATTATATAGTTCTTTTCATTCATTGTTAGTTCTTTTTTACGAGCCATAATACTAAATTCTAGTTCTTGCAAATAATCTCTTGACACTGAAAATTCCTATAATTACTGAAAAAATACTAAATATCAATCTGAAATTGAAAATTGGGACTTAATTGCTTTCATGCTTACTCGCTATACATAAAAGTACAAATTATTTCATTGGATAACACATATCTATGAATTTTACATAAAATATTTGACAATACCTCTTTTGCATATAATCTCTAGACGCAGTTTAGATTGTTCTTGTTTCACTGTACATGCACTGCACTGACAACTGTAGCAAAAAGTCCATGGTTTTTGTGGTTTAGGAATGCTAAAAAATTCTCCAATATAAATTAACAGTAATTATTTCTTCACTTACAGTATTTCAGCAAAGTTCATAGAACTTCACAGGAACACTCTGCATTTGGATAGTGGAAGAAATCTATAAATCTTTTGATCTATACTGATTTTTTTCTCTAATAAATTCAGATAAGCTACATTCCTTATTTCCACCAGTTCTTCTGGTCTTTCACATCTATGAAAACTCACCATGCCATATACACTGGGATGAATCATCTGCATTCCCTTCATATTAGTAGCAAGGGCATTCCATTCAGACAGTTTCTTCCCAAGAACTGCTACTTTATGAAACAAACTCCTAAGAGAAGGTTTTCCCAATCACTACAATCTTAATCACTTCAAATCTAGCGTTAACCTTTATCTTTCCTACATATCCTTATAAACTGCACATCTTATTTCCTCCCCTTATGCTTATACAACCTCTTCAGTAGCCCTCTACCTTGAGTAGCTCTTGGGCCTTATAGTGGGTTTGACATTAGTAAAAAAAAAATTAAAATTAAAAAAAAAACAACAAAGGTTTAAAAATGTTACCTGATGTTTCCTTGTGCTTTGTAAATACAAAAGATAGGTGTTTGCTTGGTACATCAAGTCAAACTTATCCCTGCAGTATTTTTCGCTTGTCAAGTTATGTTTTTGGTAGAGATCCTTCAAGAAGGTGTAAGCTGGGGCATCATGAAATTTTTCCTGAGAGGGAAAACATGGATACAATTATTCACAAAATTAAACAATTTGCAAAAGTTTATAATAATTTGCTTAAAAAAAGAATTTTCATGAAAATTTTAATTTTCATCAGATTTTTGTTGATAAGATATAAAAAAATTTGTTGAAATATATTGTAAACTAGCAGCATGACCCGGCGTTGTCCGTGCTTGATTCAAAAATTGTACGACTCATACAGCAATCGCTATCACTTGATTTAAAATATTTTTGCCCTTCCTTGCCTTTAAAGGAGTGCCCTTTGCCGTGCTGATGTTGCTACATGCCTTACTTCTTGCCAATCTCACACTGCAAATTTTTTCTAAGCTCTATACTAAACATTAAATCTGTTAAGAAAAAAGAACTAAACAAAATGAACACAAAACAATCAACTTTAAAAAAAAAGGACTTGTAACTGGAAAAACCAAATGAAAAAAGAATGTTAACAACAAATTCTTTTTCACACCCAACCCAGTTCTGCGGAATCAGAATCAACATTGAGTTTAAGCAAGTGAATGAGCCAATTGGAGTAAAGTGCCATGCAGATTTAAATTTTTCCCACTTGTGACGAATGCAGCTATTGATTTTTTTTGCATGCTAGCATGCTAGTTAACATTCGTGTCAGTCAACTGTTGGTTCTCACGCTGGCCAATAGAATCTTCCTGTCTATTCATGGCAGCCAGCTATAGGCTCTCACTCTGGCCAGTACAAAATGGACGCAAACTACATGAAAACTGCCGTAGAAGCATGAAAAAAATCAATTATTTCCATTATCAATGGGAGTTGGGAAATGCAAAGTTGGTCTTAGCCTTCCTGCTAACTTGGAGCATGTGCATGTAAATTTTGGTGCAAATCTGTCGAAAATTGTGGCCATGCATTCGTTACACACACACATTCTGCCTTTTATAGATAGAGATGAAAATATAAGGTTGACTCGTTATAATTTGTTCTTTATCAACTTTATTCTTCAAAGGAATAAAGTAAATTACATTTTAATTAATTATGTATTCACCATTATTTGCAATGTCTTCTTCCTATTTATCAGGCAGCTCTTTGAAATCATTTGAATAAAATTACAGAGTTTTTGATGCAAAAATTTGACTAACTCTTGAATCTGACCACCTACCCAAAGACTTTAACACAGCTAAATTCTTACTCTTTTCAATTCTTTTGAATTCATCTAGATATGTTTGTAAACCCAAATGATTCATTTAACATGCACAAGACCATGTTTTCTTTCTTATCATTTTATTATTGTTTGGAATTTGAATTTTTAATATAAAAAATCCTTGAAGATAGAATTTCCTAAAAATTGAAAATCTGAACAAAATTTAATTAAATAATTTGGTAAGAATTATATTCTTATCAGGCTGAGAAAATTTTGGTCAATTCAGAAATAAAATAATTAGTGCCATTTTTTAAAAAAATTTTAAAAAAAATTATTATTTTTTTTTTTTCAAAATTTAGATTCATATATGATAGATTAAGCACTCTAGATCAAATATATATATATATATAAAAAGACTTTATAAAAGTTAATAGGGGGTCCAATTTACTATGTAAATTCATTGTAAATTGATCCCCCATCATCTATCAGTCAACTGCTTCAATCGCCGGGGCGAGTGGGGGATAACCTGAAGGCAGAAGAAAAACAAACATTGATTCTTTTTCCTCTCGGATAGCTTGGTGGCGCCCATCTCCTCTCCAAGTTCTTAACCGACAGCTGAAGACCACAAAATATGGAGTGGGTCACCCCAGTCCGTACACTAGGCCCTCAGGTTTAGAATTCAGATTTGTCCTTCTCCTAAACAGAACTGGTTGCCGCTTAAGACTATAGGACTCACTATCCTGATATTATTTTACCCATAGCTGGGGGGGGTGTATTAGCAAGTAAGTGAAAAATGTAATGAACTTATAGAATTCGAACTCGGCTCTTCGATTCCTCAATCCAAGCTACTATCCATTACTCCAGCAGGCCAAAACAAAGTGGTTTACTTTAAAAGTTAAAGAAAATAATTTTTTTTATTTTCATTTCGTAATCCATTTTTATTACAGGCCAATCCAATCGATATGCTTAAAAAACTTTAGATTACGAACTTCAAATTTTTATTTATTTTAATTTTTGTTTTTTTTTTATTTAGAAATAAGGCTGGTATATTCTTTTGGCTTACTTTTTTTCAGATTTTACATTGTAAATTTTATTTCCTACTGGATTACAATAATTTTTTACACCACTACCTTATTTAAGTTTCATAAAATTTAAAAAAAATTGATATTCATGATTTAAAGTGTTTAATTTATAGTAATAGGAAATAAAATGATTATTTCCAGATGCAGTAATTATGATACATCTTATGATACAATTAAAACAAAACATATTTATTCATAATGTTTACAAACAAGCCAGTCGTCCTCTAAACAAAGTTAAAAAGGCAATCAATGACAAACAAAACGAAAAACGACAAAGTATTTAAAATTATTTACATACAAGTTTAGTTTACTGCAACGGGCAAAAAATTAACAGGTAAGTTTTTTTTTTTTCTTAGATGTGTTTAATTATGATTCCTTACCTTACCGTAAATACGGCGTAATTCTCTGATTAAACCTCGAAAGACAGCCAAATTTGTTTTGGGAGCCGCCATGTTGCTACCACGCCATGGAAGTTTTAAAAAAAAAAAAAAACTGGCCAAGGGAGGTAATTAGGAATTCATTTAATTTTCTCATTGGAAACAAACACGTGAGAAAATGGTGTGATTTATTTTAGTTAATTGATAATTTAACGAATAAATAAAAGTACGTTATATTTTGTACCTAAAAAAACAAAACAAAATGCATTTTAAATAATTTAAATGCCGTCTGTGAAGTTAAATTTCAGTTCTTTTTGAAAATAATGACCTAAAAAAAAAGCTAATGCGAATTAAAAGGAAAAATAATTTCCGAATAATAATAAACTAAAAACATTGGCACGTTTTTTCGTCACGCATCAAGTGTATGTATACAAAAAAAAATGTAAACAACAAATTTAAAATTCCCTTCAAAATCCAATGTTTGTTCTACATGTGTTTCGAAGTCTGTTAAGTGTTAAGTAATTAATTAACTAACTGGATTTTTCTAAAAGTAAATATAAATGCTTACCTTTTTTTTACTGGAAAAAAAAAAAAAAAAAAAAAAAACAGAATAAAAATAACGCTTTATTTACGCACGGTAACCTGTGAGGTCAAAGGGCAAATAAAAGTAATATAAGTCCACTCCTGTTTGTAAAAGCGAGCGAAAAAAGTAAAAATAAAACCTAAAAGAATACGGAAGACCAGCAGTGCACTAATCAAGAATTTGTTATGTTTTTAAAAATAAATGTTCTTTAACCTGATGTAACCAATTACATTTTTATTAATTCTTAATAGAATTTAATTTGAGAACCACTACTACAATGCTTTTAGTTTTACAAGTTGACATTCTAGCCTCTTTTCTGATCTTTGCCCCAACTTTTTACCCTGCTTTCAACTCCGGCTCCAAAAGCCTTGATCCTTATCAGAGATAAGAATATATTTTCTGATGAAATAGAGCTGGAAAATATAAAAAAGAAATCTGACCATTCTTGCCCTGACCATGGTGCCATAAAGTTGGGATGTAACACTCACAACTTGTGGGACCCTTGCTTCCAAAAAGCAGATCCCAAAACTTTGTTCTTATCAGAAAGAAGAATATATTTTCTGAGGAATGAGAGGGATGGGAAAGTGTATAGCAAATTTGGAGTTCCTGACATTTCTAAGCCTTCTAATCTCGAAAAATACAAAGAATGTACACCTCTTTAGCAGTGAGTACTTGACACCGTCTGTGATAACATCAGGTTGGCAATAGAACACCAGTCATCTTCAGAACCTGTTTCAAGAAAGAGATCTACCTAATGGGCTCTAAAGACAGAACGTCGGCCCTCTACTAAAAAATAATTGAAATCTGCTTCCTTGCACCTAGAAATTCCTGTTGTCCGCCTACGAACTCACTCAACTGCAAAATTTGGATCTTCCAACTGTTTCCTCCTCAACAAGAGCTCTGAAGAAATCTATGTGAGTGTTAACCCCTTAAGAACAATTTACTTGCTTAAAGAACTTTTAGGCGCTCAGAGAAATATTTTGAGCAAGCCTTTATATGAACATTTTTTCTTCCTTTAAGTTCAAGGAATTTTCTTCTCCCTTTCTTTCTCTCGTATTTGTGTATATCCCTTTACCTTCTTTTGTGGATGTAAATAAACATTTCTTCTTCTATTGTTACACCCTGAGCAGGAGTTTGAGTTTTTGTTCTTCTGCCTAAAAGAGAGAATTGTCCGCTCTTATCTTTCAATCCATTGTTGCTTTTATCAATTCTGTTACATTTAACCTTAAGCCTTTCATGTGAGAAAGCCTGGACAAATTTCCTACATTCTGTCTGCTTTTATTAAACATAGTATTTTAACATCCACCATCTTATCAATGTTGAATTTTGTACAAATCTGTGCAAAAGGAGGATCAAAAGCTTATCTAGCTTCACACAGATTTTCAGGAAATATCAGCTTCTAATTGGTCGATAAACACACAAGTGGGTGTTGCAATTCGCTCACATACAAATATTTTTCCAGCATGTGACCAAGTCAAGTTTTCCCGCCATTTTCCTGTGATCCTATCACATGATTACATTAATTATAAATAAGAGACACAAGCTTGCTCACCCTCTCTTCTCTTCTCCTGCAAAGATGTAACCCTAAAGGATCCTGTCTTGACCATGTGTGATCAGATGTTAAAAACATATTCATGCATGCATGTATGTACGAAATTTTCTAAACTACATTCCAAACATACGAAACATTTCCATACAAGCAACAAAAACTTTTCTCTTTAAAATATTCTTCTAAAGCTACAAGTTTATTCAGCATTTCTCAGCTTTATAATTCATTCAACCTTTGTGTGCTCAGATAAAAATATTTCAATTTCATCAGTAAAACTTTAATTCAGTCAAAGGGACATAACACCAATAAAATAGTAACCTCTATGCATGTGCATCATTACACAAAAATAAATACAAATGTTGTTGTTATAAAAACCGTTTTTATTCCTTCTTGTTTCATATTTTATGGATGGTATTTTGTGTTAAATATAAGTCGTGAGGTTGTAGTGACTACTACTATGTTTGCCACACCTACATTTTTCTCAACTGTGATTGGTTAAATAATAAATACTGATTATCACAGGACAATTTACTGATCGCAGTCACCACACTGAATTTTTCCTACCGTTAATTTCACAAACATGCTTTTGTTATAAAATCACCGATTGGTTAATTTTTCATCTAATCAGATATTTTCTGTGTTCTTTCAAATTTCTGTTACAACTCTAATGGGCTAGGGAACTCTTGACATGATGGACCTTCATTCACTGCATTGCAGTTTTTGTAAATGTTTCTGGAGAAATCTTTGAGTTTGCCTTTGTATCTCAGTTATGATTTTATGTTTCTTTTTCCATCGTGAAGCTGGCTATGCAGGAGGACTTGTTGAATTTTGTTGTCATTTATTATGACAGCATGTCCAGTCTATGTTAATTCAAATTGTAGAAGAAAGGATTCAATGCCATCAATTTTATATTTACAGGACAGATAAATATTCAAAATTTTGAATATAAAATGAAACCATTCACACACACACATAGTGTACAGCCAAAGTAATCCCCATTTTTATTTATTAGCTTTTATTAAAGAAAAAATTACAGTAGTTTAAAAATTTACAAGTATTCTTATATCAAAACAACATAATTTACTAGGCTTAGCAAACTATTTAACATGTTCAAAATGCTCCCCTTCATATTCAATACAATGCTGAACCCTATCAGCGACATTTCTACAAACCATTTAACATATTTCTACATTAATTTCAGAAAATTCATCCAAAATTGCTTGTTTTAATTCAGGAATTGTTTTTGGTTTGAGACTGTGTTGTTTACTGAATGAGGAATAACCAAAATGGAGGTTGGAAATGAGATGGTAATTTTTATAACATCAACAAAACACAATACTCGCCAGCAGCATGAAGTAGGTAAACCACTGCTCGTGGGGCACTAAGACAGCATATTACCCTCACTTACAATAGTGTCCAACATATTCATGAAGATTGGGACATACCCATTAGTGTTCATAGGTACGGTATATAACAACCTGTAAATAAGGTCTTCCAGTCTCCACCACATAAGAAAAAGTCTGGTGGTGTTAGGTTTGGTGATTGTGAAGGTCGCTCAATTGCTCGATGTTGTCCTATCCATCACAGCTAGAAAATAAAAAAGGGTGTTATTTTTTTCACACATTGTATAAATAATTATTATAAATGTTATACTTACTGGGTGCTTGTGATTGAATAGACATACCTTCTTTTTTTAAAAACAGTAAAATTAATATCTGTCTAGATGTCTGAGATGAGGCATTATGTACACTATTTACATTATTCGGACTATTGTCCTCATCTTTGTCGCCATATTTATTACAACGTTTCAGATGTTGTACACTCTGGCCTTCTTCAGGAGATAACTGATAACTGAAATCCATTAAAAACATGGCACGTGGAACTAGAACAGTCTACCCCAGTGAGCGAAATAAAGGGTTCAGTTCGACATTCCAACCACCTGAAGAAGCTGGAGTATACAACGGCTGAAATGTTGTAATAAATATGGCAACAAAGATGAGGACAATAGTCTGAATAATGTAAATAGTGTATATAATACCTCATCTCAGAAATATAGACATATATTGTGAAGGCATTAGTTAAATCCAGTGACAGGACCCAAAGAGTGTGAGTTCAATACCCAGTTAAGGTGGTGGAGAACTTGGAGAGGGGAATTAACAGGAGAAAACTGATAACTGACATCCATTAAACATGGCACATGGAGCTAGAACATTCTACTTCAGTGAGCGAAATAAAGGGTTCAATTCGACATTCCAACCGCCTGAAGAAGGCTGGAGTGCACAACGACTGAAATGTTGTAATAAATATGGCGACAAAGATGAGGACAATAGTCTGAATAATATAAATAGAGTAAAATTAATATCTACCAGTGATTAAAAGACATAATAAAGAAAATAAGCCATCCAATATGAAGTAAAATGTCATTCTCTTTTTTTAACCTGAGGAAACCATTTTCAGGCTAATTATGCTTTCCTATTAAGGCACATTTTTATTGGAACATTCTGAAGTCATTTTTAAGAAATTAAAAAGAAACATTAATAGACTTGCAACATTGCGTCTGTAGAAAAGAGGCTACAGAGTGGAGAATATCATCTCCAAGAAGATTGCTTAAACGATTTTGAACTCTTGTAGAGTGGACCCATATCATAGACCCATATCATAGATTCGTGGGGTGGATGCAGAATGGAGAATAAGTCCAAGAAGATAAGCTTATATGATTTTGAACTTAGTAGGGGACTTACATCATGTCTGGATTCATGGGGAGGGTGACCTAGACCTGGATATTGTGATTTGTTGGATTTGTGGATGCAGAATGGAGAATAAGTCCAAGAAGATAGCTTATATGATTTTGAACTTTAGTAGAGTGGACCCATATCATAGACCCATATCATAGATTCATGGGGAGGGTGGACCTTACACCAGACCTGGATATTGTGATAGACT